AATATAAATTCTTATAAAAATGAGTGTATTATATATAAATTAAAAATACACACTGTAGCTGGTCGAAATGACTATAGAGCTGATTAAAAAGTAGTTGACTGGAAATAAACACACAAGTCAGAATATAGGCTTTTCTAAATTATCTAAAAGTAAACATTTTAATTAATGTAAGAGAATACAGAACAGTTACATTTATGTTTTTCCCACTGGGTTTTCTCTGGGCAACAAAATTTACTCTCAAAACGAGGTTTGGGGTAAAATGGCTGGGGAAATCCAAAAGCCGCTTTATCAAAACTAAGCAATTTGTAATTGATATAAAATATTACAATCTATTAGAAACAAATATTCCATTCATAATTCACACACATGTATACAATAAGATGAGGCAATAAAAAAAATTATCAAGTATTAGTAGGTAAATAGCAAAATATACTAATTATAAAAAGAAATTAATAACAATGAATAAAAATGCGAAGTAAATTCAGTGTAGAAACATAAACAGAGTGTAGAATCTGAAATCTCTTATCAGTTTTATTCCACACTTTAGGCCCTAAATTTACCATAGCTTTTTACCTTACCACATGAAAGTACTGCTCAATAGCTTTCATTTGAATCGGGTCACACACTAGGGTTTCATCCACAGACTTAAACGTTAGAACCATCTTGTACAGCATGATAAACAGTACCACATGAAAGTACTGCTCAATAGCTTTCATTTGAAAGCATAGTCACATACTAGAGTTTTATCTACAGACTTATAAGTTAGAACCACCTTGTACAGGATAATAAACAGTACCACATGAAAGTGCTGCTTCAATGGCTTTCATTTGATTGGTCACACATTAAGGTTTCATCCACAGACTTAAACGTTAGAACCATCTTGTACAGCATAATAAACAGTACCACATGAAAGTGCTGCTCAATAGCTTTCATTTGAAAGCATAGTCACATACTAGAGTTTTATCTACAGACTTATAAGTTAGAACCATCTTGTACAGCATAATAGCTGTTAATCGAATGCCCTCACACTAAGTGTTCATCTGTAGTCTCAACATGTGCAGTTAGTATCTAAGAACCATCCTGTACTGTAAACAGTACCACATGAAAATACTGCTCAGTATAGCTTTCATTTGAATGATTACGCACTTGTGCAGTTTTCCAGAGTACTCTTGAAACTGCTCACTGAACCACCTTCTCCAGCATTAAATGAAAGTACCATTAAATAACTCAGATAACTTCAACGGTAGGATTTCATCCCCAGACTTAAAATAGAATCACCTTGGGCGGGGTTGTAGGTTTGACTGAAACACATACTATGCATATCTTATTTACCGAGTAAATTAGAACTTGTTCTTGTTGACTTTTTTCGGGTTTTATTTCTTGTGCTCCCGCAGGTTCCTGGCCAAACCTTCACATACAGGTTTGACAAGCTACCTTACAAATATGAGCCAGGAATTACAAGATCTCTTCGTCATGAGCACAAGATGGCTGCAAGCCTCCATGAACAAGAGGAAATTACTCCTGATCAAACTACAACTCAGATAAAACCCAGTTCACCATCTGTCTCTGAACAGACATCATTTCTCCCCACTTGTAGCCCCGGAGAGGATTCCTGGTCACTCGTACCCAAGCCTGCGCTGCCAGTTCGGATGTGTCCTCAGCTGACATCCCAGCTTGTAAACTTGTCCAGTATAACATTACCGACGTCTGTTCAGCCTGCACCTGTTAAACCTGTTTTGAAAACAGGCTTACATGAGTCTTCTGCTAAGTCTATTCCTGTGTCTGTAATTAAAAGAGTACAAACTGACCCAAACGATATCTGTTTCAACGCCACTATAACTAATAGTTCAGTTTGTATTGCAGTCGAACCTCCACCAAACATAACTCTCTACAATACCCACAATATTGATAATTGAAAAAATAGTTGTTATCATTCGATCACAAAGTCATGTGTCGTCTATTATTTATCAAACTCCTTCTTATAAAAAGGTTTGCTAATCACTGTCCATTTGTAAAAATAAAATAAATAAATCACCTTTTCAAGTGTTAAAGCTTTTAGCACTACTTTGCTAATTGGGGGACACTGAAACAATCAAACAAATATTGTAAATTAAACAGAAACTTGTTAAAACTCTCAACTGGCGGGAGGATGACCAGTTGGTTATTTACAAAGCGTGGAGGAGCTGAATCTGGGACAACCAAACACAAATCCATCTAGTGGCAGGGAGGGGGCTTTGAACTCGGGAACCTCAGGATCACAAATACAGTGCTCTTAACCATTGGGCCACGCTGTCTCCTGCAGAAGGTTCTCCCACAGTGATTTTTCACTGATTATATTCCGCCCTAATCAATTTGAACATTAAGACTGCTTTAGAGTTACTGTTCTTAAATGTACAGTATGCCTTCAAATCCTAGAACTGCATTCAATTTAATATGACGTTAATATATATGAACTGTAAAAGTTTTATCCATCAGTCATTTATATTTTTCCCTATTATCTAAACGCAAACTTTAAATGGATCAGCATTAAGTAATTTTCAACTGACAACATGCAATATTTTGAATTGTCAACCTTCAAAGCCTTGTCTTACAAAGATGTCGTCCGGGGGGGGGGTACTCTACAAAGTTCTATGCGGAGAGGCTCTGCCCAGAGGTCCAAACCCCTAGCCTTTTGTATACCATTTCGGCGACAGAAAGCTAACCCTTTCATTGAAGGTCCTACCTTTCATTGAAAAAAGGTATCCCTATCACCTAGCTGCTTAACTATGAACATTGCACTGATCTCTTTTCTAAACCCTTAAAATTCAGTTAATGATATAGCCATAAGGTATCTAAATGACAGATTTCCCCACCCTTTCATATACCTCAGCTTGCAAAATCCCTTCCCTTTTATATACCTGAGGCCTGAAAAGGTACCTCTTTCCGGCGGAGCCGCCCCGGCCGTATAAACCATTACAGGGAGTACCCCACGGGATGCAGTTCCAAATGTATTTTTAAAAACATGCTCTCAACCCTCACTAAGTACAATATCATTGAGATCTGATATTTTGATATATCAACCGTCAAATTTCTTCCTATTTCACCTTAGTACCGACTATGTGTAGATGGTTTTTTTTTAAAAAAAAAATAATGCTCTCAAAACGCATTAACTGTTGTTTGTATTTCAAAAAATCATCTCAGTTTAGGATCTGTGGCTAAGGTACTTTTCATCAAAAGCAGTTAAAATCAGTTAACTTACAAGAGTGACCAAAACCTGATTTATCCTTATAATATCAATATATTGTCAGGCAAGCAGGCGTAAGGATAAAGAAATTTGTCAAATATTAGAGATTGTAATGACGAACTAACGAGTTCTCAGAACCAGCAGATAAAGCAATGTGCAGTGACAATCGATAACGGTAACAAAAGTTATTTTAAATTGTGGGCGATGCAAGAAATTATAACGTGCATAACTATAATACTTGCAGAAGGACAGATTTGCTCCTACCCAAACCCAAACTTAGCCTTGCAAAACGAACCTTTAGATATTCGGGCTCAGCTTTTTTTTAACCTCTTACCCCGTAGCATTCAAAACGCCGAGTCACTTTCTTCTTTCAAAGTTTCAATTGACGTCTACAATTTTTAAATTATATAGGAAATAGATTTTTATAAATTATTGCATGCTTCTTTATACTCTGTACTTTTAATTATTACTTGTATTTTTAAATTTATATCTTGTATTTTTTAAATTTTATCTTGTATTTTTAAATTATCACGATGTCTTGTATTTTTAATTATTATATTTTTAGTCCAGGGCCCCTCTGGATACCAGCCTCGTCGCTGAATGGGCCACCCTGGCTAAATAAAGTTTACCTTTACCTTTACCTTTATTTATTTTAGAAGATATTCTGATGGATTGCAGTATAAAACGCACACCTTTTATATATTTTTAAGCCAAAAATCAAGAACAATTTTTACTTTCAAGAGCAACACGCGCGTGATTGTGTTCTATCAGCGAGTAGTAGAATTCCACTAGTATACTGATGCCAATGCTGCAATCTGATTGGCTGAGCTACTCGTATACTATCAGCCATTAGAGTGCAATGGCCGGAGGTCGTCTACCAAATGGCGTCATTTTTTCGTTTTTAACGAAGTTTTGAACGAACATTTCGATGCAGATGGATAAATAAATCCCTGAAAAGACTAAAAGAAGACACATTAATGGTTTCTTGACTTTAAAAATCTTGAAATTATTGAAAAAAATGATGTCGCGCGCACACAACTTCAATTTCAAATGACAATTCAATCAGAGCGATCTTTCTAAGGCACAAAGTTTAATAATACGTCGAGAAGTAATTGGAAACCGTTATTTGAAGTATGTTTCTGTTAGAATTCTACTAAAACAATTAGATTATTCGCTCTCGATTTCCATGAAGGGATAGTTGATAATCTAATTGTCAAATAGACAACAAAGGAAGAACCAATCAGATTCGACTATTTTCAGTAGAACACGCAGAGAGTTTACTAACACAAAACTTTCTTAAAACAAGAAGTTTTGGTTAGGTACCTCCTTTGAAACAAACCAATGCTCAATACAGTCAAGTGAGACGTTGATGAAATCACAAAGAAATGTTTAACAACGATGCTCAATTTGTAGAATTGAAAGTTTATCGAAGTGTATTTACTGAAGGCAGATAAATCACTGAAAAAAATAAAAAAAACAAAAACAAATGTTGACACAGAAAATAACATTGCAGGACCCCCATTAAGTCTCCCGTGTAACGGTACCGATGGAATCAATTAAACGACTGAATAAGCGATGACTGTTTTATTTTATCACATTATCTTTATATATACCGTATATACATACATTTCTTTAGTTTTGTTTTTACCTATGTCATAACACCTCCTTTCCCCTCGCCCAAGGGAGTAGGGGGGGGGGGGTACTTCATATTTAGCTATGTAGGCGGAAGTAGGTATGTCCCAAAGCCCTGAATGGATGATTCTGTCTGAAATTAGCCCATAGATATCATATATAATTATATATGGCTATTTTGGTCTGAACCCGAGTTTGATTTCGTGGGTTGTACAGCGATTAGAATGTGAACAGTCAGCTGTGAAAACTGGTCTGGAAATGACGTTTTCTGCCCTCTGTCTGAAACCAGGGGTCCGTTTCTCGAAAACCCCGGAATCTTTTCGTGCCCGAAAAGCCATTTTTAGTTCATCGGTATTTAAAGACAGAGAGGAGTATACGCCTGAAAATTCTTGTATGAAGAGAACCTCTGTTAGTATTAAGAATATATGATTGAAACAGCTCTGTAGTCAAAAGGTTTGGGATTTTGCTACGGCATTTCGGGTGCGAAAACTTTTTGGGACCTTCCGAGAAACGGGTCCCAAGAGATCACAAACCGGGAAGCACACTGCCCCCACCCCCCTCCCCCTCCAGGAAAGCAAAAAGGTGTACGTAAGACGAACAACTTTTCTCGCATTTTTTTTACGAGATGTAGTGATTTACCGTTTGTCGAAAAAATTATTTTTAAGTAGAATTCATCGCATTCCGAGTGTCACGGTTTCCTGTCGTTACATGTGAAAATCCACCCAGCTTACTACGCAGGCACTCAATCTTCTTTTCAGATTGCATGACGAGCTCAAAGCAATTCTGCGCAGGAGGCCTTCGTATGAAAGGAAACCTTTCTACAACAAAGTCACAGTCATACAGTCACTGAAATAAGTACAAAATGACAAATGTATACCGAGTTTCTTATTTAACTTATACTTAAACAAATGGGAAGAAAAAGATGTGAACCTTTGGTTATTGTTAAACAAATCTAGTTATTACTTCAACGGGGACGGAGGTTGGATCATGGAGCATGCGCACACCGTAAACTGATGACCCGAGACATCTACAAGGTGGAAACATTATCTGGCTGCGGCACATCGTTTGCGCATGGCTTCGTGGAATACATTCATGGCAACCGAAACGTTGGTTCGTGGGCGCGCTTCGTGAATGAACACAAGGTTGGCTCATAACTGGCCAGCGTGTTGTCATGGAAACCTGGTTTGGAATAATATCTGGTTGATCCGGTTTGGGGCTTTCCTCCGCAGGGATTGGCCACGGCCAATTGTACCTGACAGGCTTGTACGCATAAGGAAGCTTGTCAAATTTATAAACCAGTCTTTGGCCTTGCACCTAGCGACAAAAAAGGACAGAAGATTACTTCAAAACAAAATACACACATACATACTTACATACACACATGATTTTATGTTGTCTCTAATTTATAGAGTAGCTATAACGTTGCTAATATAAAAACAACAAGTATTACTATTAACCATTATGTTTGTCTGCATTATAAAAACCTAACTAGTGTAGTAATCATGCAGCAATTATGCCTGAAAGGAGAATGTTTTCACGTAATATACCAAACACGAGAGACAGCGTTGCAACGGGACATCCAAACACCGAGAAGAGAGTTGAAAATACGACGCGCAGAGGAGTCTTTTTGACGAAATTCGAGATGTTTGGATAGCCGATGAAACAGTGTCTCGAGTGTTTGATATATCTTCTCAGTCAAAACAAAAACTAAGGAGTAAACGGAGAAGTAGAGTCGCTCGTATGCAGACTGTTATCCACACCTCCTTCACGGTGGTGATTTTCTTTGTTTTAACTTGATGAACTTGAACTTGATGAGTTTGAGAAGAGACGTTTAAAATCAGTTAACGTTGGCTCCGTTCTAAGAGTTCCAAGTTTTGCATGCAAAATACTTAAAAGAGTGAAGACCATAAGAAGTGGAAGCAGGTTTACAGAATGAAATCTAAAATCAAAAGCTAAAACAAAGCTAAAATCAAATCAGTTGCGAAATGGAAGAAGAGGCATAGAAAATAATTAAAATGAGCTGAAATTTCGACTGTTAGCTGGAAATTCGCCGAATATTTGACTGTGAACTGAGATTTCAGCACTCCTAATTAGACCCCCTCCAAAACTTCGACGGCTGTCGCAGGCTCAAAAACGTTATTTTTAAAGACATTCGGATGAAGAAATTCTTTACTTAGACAACAGACAGTTGGGTAAGCAACCTGGGCCGGGAGTTCCGCTTGCAAATAGTACCTTTTTCAAACTGAAGGCATATGAAATGGCAGAGATTTCACGAATTGAGGGATGGAAGAGCGTGGGGAAATCCGTAAGGTTCCAAAACAGACAAATGTTTCGCGATTCGATGAATCAGCCTGTTGATTCAACTTATGCATGATTTATGCAGCGGCTACCATCGGTGTGATAATTAATCAGGTTTGAAATGCTTTTCTACTTTATCTTCTTAGGCCATAAATCTTCTGCGGGACAGTTTTTGTCTGTCCGCAATCTACTTATCGTGAAAACAATATGATATTCTGGATTTTGCTTATTGTTCACAGTCACGCGTTTTGCATGTGACATTCACCATTCCGACATTTGGATTTGAATTTCATCTGCGGTCAGTACATATCATGTCCATTTTGTAGACAATCGGCGATCGTGCTGGTTGTTCTATTTTTTTGGCTGCCACACCGTGCTGACGAGACCCAACCGGGTCAAAACAGCTGTCCACGATCGCAATTGTTGGCTTTCAATTTGGACTCTATTGAGTCGTTGTTGCGTTTATCAGACGCGTAATTTTTCTACTTAGAAATCAGCCTTGCGTCATTGCTATTTTATCTTCTGTATTTTATGAAATTTCTAAATGGCTCTAGGCCATTTTGTTTTTAATCCTTAGGTTTTGTCATTCTTTAAGGTAGGTGTCCTTTATTAGTAGAGGGTTATCCCTCGGCCAAAGCAACTGACACATTAATTAAGTGTTATTATATTATAATAATTATTATCTAAGTATCTCAAGGGGCTATTCAAGTGAAACGTTTAGGAAAGGAGAGTAGTCTTTCAACTTTACATGCATGCAACTGTGTCAAAAGAAATCATTGATCCATGGAGGGTGTATGGAACAGTTAACTTTTTCTATGAAAAATAACAAAAGAAAGGGCGAGGGTTTGGAACTCACGACAAAGCCTCCTCATGAATACCTGTGTGTTAACTTCCCCCCCCCTCCTCCTCCCTGCTGGGGTAAAAAATTGTCTCCCACCATGCAGAGCCTGTCAACTAGAACCTGATGATGAATTATGTGAGACACTATCCCTCCGGCTCCAATCACGAGAACTTCTAGGAATATAAATCGCTAGAAAAGAATTGTAGGGGGAAGGGGGAAACAACCTGTGATGTACAAGCATACTATTCGGGGGTGGGGAGTGAAACATTAACGATGTTTACCCTGTAATCTCTAGACTCTTGTGCGGAGAAACTAGATACTACAAAGTTTAACTTTCTAATTGCTCACCTTTTTAATAATGCCTTTCTGGTAGTAGTATCTCAGTGCCCGACTCAGTTTATCATAATTCATTCCAGCTCGCTGTTTCAACCTGCCCCACCTCCGCGCCACTTCCTCCTGCCTCTTGATTTTGAACTCTCCTTCTTCTTTCCTAGTCCATGAAATTAACGGGATGTATCTTTCGTCCTCAAGAAGCTCTAGTAAAAACTCCCACAGATGTATTGTGTTTTTGTACCGGGTTTGCTTCTGTTCCTTCTTGGAATTCTTCTGTTCTGTGTGTTCTGTATTTATAGAATTAGAGAAAAACAAAATAAATAAACAGGGGTCGATCTAGGATTTTTCAAGGAGCGTTGGCTGGTACCTTGGGGTTGCAGAATCAATGAGGCAAATTCTTTCACAGCAGTTGATTCATTCAGTTTACTAGGAAGGAACCAGAACGGGGGGGTCAGGAGGTTCCGTCGAAGCCCCTAATTTTTTTTAAAAAATGAGAAATTATAACACACTGACTTGACCTTAGAATGTCGTAAGTCCCATTTCCGAGGACCTCAATTTTAAAAATTTTCTGGAGGAGGGGACTGCCTTCGGTGGTCCGTATCTTAAATCCCCGTCTCTATTATCCTGTACCCGCCCCAGGTTTTGAAATAATGACAAGTACAAATCATGAATTCGCAGTTAAGACTGAACCACTTCCCGTCCGAATTCTGTTAAAGATTTTATTCTGAGTTCTGTTTCTCTAGACAGGCAGTAATCTCCCAGAGTTTCTTTGTCAGTTGACTGACATTTCTGGGAAAGCCTCAGGGACTAATTTATGGGCTACCACCTTCATTCTCAAATTTCATGGACAGTAAAAAGCTCGAAGAGTGACCAATATCAGCCTTGAGGCCTACAGCTTAATGTTACCTTTTCAGTTTTTGACAAATTGAACTGACAAGTTTTGAATGCCCATTTAGTTACACCAGTGATAGCAGACGGACACGTTTGTGCATCAAAAAGACAAGAAAGCGCTTTAGAGTCTACTTGCTGACAAATGAAACGTCTGCAGTACTCAGCGTTCGACGAGAAGGGTGCTTGTGTTAATTAAAGTGCACCTAACCCCCAAATTTTTTTTCCGCTAAAACGAATCTACATGTTATTTGAAATTCTTCTACGAACAAATTTTGGATTCGGTTAAATCCTCGATTTTCTGTGCCCCGACGAAATCTCGAAAATAGCCCCAAAACACCGTCATTTTGTTTCACGACCGAGTTTGAGGAGAATGGGTCCAGCGGCTGTTGTGACGTCTACCCAGGAAGGTCGAATATCTCACGACCTCTCATTTCCTTCAGGATGGAGCAATACACATTCGAAAAGTGTACAGAAGTGCCTTCCAGAAGTGCTATCGGCTGTTGCAGTAATATCCCAGACCTAAAAAAAGATATGCTGTACAATTTACTGGCGATGATCGGTCAATGGTACAATAAAGACATAAACGATGGTTGATTTTGTTGAACCGAAACGAGCGAACTGAGT